AGGGTTTGGCAATTGCAGATAGATCTACCATATGACCCAGCTATCCCACTGCTGGGAATATGCCGAGACGAATGGAAATCATCAAGTTGAAGGTATACCTGTTCTCCAATGTTCACTGCAATACGATTTACAATAGCTAAGAGTTGGAACCAGCCCAAATGTCCATCATCAGATGAGTGGATACAGAAAATGTGGTATATCTACACAATGGAATACTACTCAGCTATAAAAAAGAATGAAATACTGCCATTTGCAATGACATGGATGGACCTAGAGAGAATTATATTAAGTGAAACAAGTCAGGCACAGAAAGAGAAATATCACGTGTTCTCACTTATTTGTGGGAGCTAAAAATAAATAAATAAATATACAAGTAACCTGGGAGGGGGGAGGGAAGAAGACACAACAATTACAATTCCTTGAAGTTGATATGACAAGCAAACAGAAAGGAGATTGTTGGGAGGGAAGGGGGAGAGGGAGCAGGGAGAGAGGTTTCAGTAATTGGCCACAATAATCAACCACATTGTATATTGACAAAATAAAATAAAATTTAAAAAAAAATAGGGTTTGTGATGATTCTAAACAGGGACTAGGGGAGGGTGGATCAACTCTGGAATGATGATCACAGTTATCATTGCTCAGGAGGTGGGAGGAAAGTGCCGGGATGGGGAAGTCACTGGTAAGAAAGCAGCAATAAAATTAAGTTTAAAACTTTGTAACTATTCACAATAGACAAAGAGTGGAAGTGCCCCAAGTGTCCATGGACAACAAATGGCTAAACAAAATGTGGTGTACACACGCAATGGGATGTTATTCACTTTTAAAGAGGAAAGAAATTCTGATACATGGGTGAACCTTGAGGACATTATGCTGAGTGAAATAAGCCGGACACAAAGACAATTACTACATGAATCTATTTGTATGAGGTATCCAGAGTAGTCAAATTCATAGAGACAGAAAGTAGAATGGTGGCTGCCAGGGGCTGGCGTAGGGGGCTGGTGGAGAGAGGTAATGACTGCTTAATGGGTATGGAGTTTCAGTTTGGGAAGATGAAAAAGTGCTGGAGATGGGTGGTGGTAATGGGTGATTGCACAACAATGTGAATGTATTTAATGCCACCATGCTGAACACTAAAAATGGTTAAAATCTTAAATTTTGTATGTATTTTTCACTACAATTAAAAAAATACAAATAAAAAATGTAAAAAGAGGAGTAGCAATTTCTCAAAAAGGGAAAGATTTGTGTGGTCTTGGTCATGTCCTGTTAGAAACACTGTCATAGATTCTGTTAAAAACATCATGGTGTGATTACCTGATGCTGAGAATCAGGCTCAGGGTCCTGTTTCCTTGGAAACTACAAAGTTAAGATAAATGTGGAATGCTGTGTCTGAATCTCTGAACTGGGGTTGGAAATTAAGGCTGCTTCTCTGTGTCAGCAAACTTTCTCATAATGTATGATTTTAGAAAATAAGATTTCTTGGCACTATATCTTTGGTGTTAATGAACAAAAACAATTTTTATAGGTTCACATCAGAATTGAAAAAGCAAAGTCTCAGAACAGATTAATGTGGCTTTGAGATAAATCCCATTAAGAAAAAAAAAAAAAAAAAAAAAAAAAGAAAAAAAAAAATTAGTTCTTCTTTTATGGCTAAATAGCATACCGTTATGAGAATATGCCATATTTGTTTAATATTTCACCTATTTATGGACATTTGAGTTTTTAGTTTGGTAGAACAAATATCTCCTAAGATGAATAATGTTTTACCCCTCAAGTCAACCCAAACTGCATAATGTTTATTATCCTTTAGCCCTTAGTTCAGAAATGAACTATCAGTACTTTTGGATACTCCAGTTATGGAAATGGCAAGAATTATGTTTACAGCTTTATGGATATAAAATTAACTGCATATATATATTAAGTGTATTGTGCAATCAGTTTTTACACACACACACAACAACAACAACANTAAAAAGAGGAGTAGCAATTTCTCAAAAAGGGAAAGATTTGTGTGGTCTTGGTCATGTCCTGTTAGAAACACTGTCATAGATCCTGTTAAAAACATCATGGTGTGATTACCTGATGCTGAGAATCAGGCTCAGGGTCCTGTTTCCTTGGAAACTACAAAGTTAAGATAAATGTGGAATGCTGTGTCTGAATCTCTGAACTGGGGTTGGAAATTAAGGCTGCTTCTCTGTGTCAGCAAACTTTCTCATAATGTATGATTTTAGAAAATAAGATTTCTTGGCACTATATCTTTGGTGTTAATGAACAAAAACAATTTTTATAGGTTCACATCAGAATTGAAAAAGCAAAGTCTCAGAACAGATTAATGTGGCTTTGAGATAAATCCCAAAAAAAAAAAAAAAAAAAAAAAAAAAAAGGAAAGAAATGATTGAGGCCACCGTGGGACCAGGCTGCTTTAGGTTCTGGGGCTGCATATACTTGTGTCTGTCCTCCCCCTTATATACGTGGTTTGGATTTGTGAATTTGATGTTTGCAATACTCTACTTTGGGACATTAATCTTTAAGATTACCAATTGAATGATATTACATACAAAAACCAAGAAACTATAAATCTCCTTACATTATAACACCATTTACCTAAAATTTGTGTTTATTGTTATAATAAAAGTACATTACTATATCTGAATAAAAACTGAAGTTTTTATTAAATGTCTACACATCATTATAACTACCCATTATTTAAAAATTATGGTCATGAATTTTTAGGCTATAAGTTCTCAAATGTAAATGCCACCATTGAAGCTGTAATTTGCAATAAAACTGGCCAATATTCCAGTAGTAACTTTGAGAACAAAAGGTGCTCTATGAAATTTAAAGAAATAATACTTTAGGAGGATAATAAAAGCCCAGGTGATAAAAGTTTCTATAATTCAATCGATTCTTTCTATGAATCAAATTTAAAACTAACAAAAAAAAAAAAAAAAAAGAAGAAGAAATGCAGACCATTTCTTAAAGTAGGCTACAAATGAATAAAAAGCTATAGCAAAATGATGTGACTCACCAGGCAATGCAGTTACAATATATACACATTGCCCACAGTAGAAACCTTTACATGTTTAATCTGTGCACATGTTTTGATGATCCTTCAAAGAGAGTTTCTCTGGGTCCTGACAGGTGGTGGGTTGGGTACACTAAAGGAATAGAAGGTGAAATCCAGTACTTGACATTATCCTCAAAGCTCTGATTAGGCAACAAAGTTTCTCTCTCACAAAACCAGCTCACCAGGTACGAATTACTATGCAATGGACCACAAGCTCTGTAATTACGGGCAATACGGCTTTCAAAAAAAACAGAAAATTTGTGACAAGGTCACATTCTGCACACAAATTTGCTACCGAACAGCCAACATTTAAGAGACTCATGAAATATGACACACTAGGGCCAAAAAGTCCTATCACTGGCTACCTGTACTCCTGGATTGATGGACAGTACAACTGTCATTGGAGATGATTAAAGATACTTGAATCAGAACAAAAGCAGAAGACAGAGCAGGTAGAGCTGTTTTAGTTCATTTTAATTTAGTTTGCCGCACAGCTTTGTTACATTACTACAAGGACAAGATTTAACTTTGAGAAATGTTAAGGGTGGAGTAGATAGTCATTATTACCATGGACATTAGCTGAACTGAAACACAGACCTCGTCTCATAAAGAATAAGAGATAACCCTTTGCCAAATAAAGGAAAGGAGTTAAGTTTTACTGGACACGTAATACGTGCTAAGTGGTATCTCAGACAAGATCTTATTTAAAGACTTCTAAATAATTTAATGATAGTGGAATTGGCCTTCTGGCCTAAAAAAGCACACTGCTCTTTGGTCCCAAGAAAATGTGAAAAATAACCAGTGTGTGGAGGGGAAGGGCAGGTAAGTAAAATAAGAGAGAGAAATATTTGAAAAAAAAAAATCATAAATAAAAATCAGGTCCTTTCCGACCAAGCAAAAAGTAAAATAATTCTTTCTTTCAACTACGCGGTTTACAACTAATCAAAACTCAGGAAATAACTTCTGGAAGCAAACTAACCCAGCTGTGAAAAACATGCGCGTCCAGTAACATCCGAAAAACACGTGGCGGGGGTGGGGAGTCCGGTGGCAGCAGCAGGTGCGACTGCAGGTCCCATCATCCCACGCGGCCGCCAAGCCGGGCTGCTCAGGGCGAGCCGGCGCACTGGATGCTGGGACCTGTGGTGTTTGTCCCTGCGCCTCCCAGCGGGTTGGCGTCGTTTAGTGACTACCGCGCCTGCGCCGGCTGCGAGGCTGGGCCCGTGGCGGCTCGTACCGGGTGATGCTAGGCGGCTCCCTGGGCTTCAGGCTGTTGCGAGGTGTGGTTGGGAGTCGTGGGCAGTTTGGAGCGCGGGGTATCCGCGAGGGTGGCGCGGCTATGGCGGCAGGGGAGAGCATGGCTCAGCGGATGGTCTGGGTGGACCTGGAGGTGAGTGAGGTCGGTGGGGGGTGAGGGGAGGCGAGTGAGGTTTGGCGCGCGGGACCGAGTAGCCGAGCCTGTCCTGGGAGAGCGGCGGGTGGCTGGGTCCCTGGCGTGGCAGGGGCGCGCGGCCCGGTTGTGGGGGGGTCTGGTGGCTGC